CATGTGGGAAATTGCTGGACTGAATTCCTTGGGCTAGTGAGGTGTAATTAGGCATCTTGTGGACAAGATGGGATAATTTATGCTTTCTTGCTGTCATCTGGAATTACACTATTATTTCTAATGGATTTACTAAGGTGGAACTGAGATCAGAAATTGGCCCTAGGGGACGTGGTTGTTGATTAGGTGATCACTGCATATGGCAGCAAGAGCAGTTGCCAGACAGAAGGGAAAATTGAAGTGATACCAGCTGCTGTATACAAGCTGAAAGTTAGACATGTGTCTCACAGATAAAGTAGACGTGCACCTAGGACTTGCTGAAACAGATCTCATTAGCTTTTTTCTATAGCCTTTTTCTGTCTGCAGATACTGTCTTTTCTAGCATACAACACAACCTTTCACCCCAAAAGCAGCCCCCCAAAATTGGAGGGCATGTTTTAAGCAGGGAATCTGATTTTCTACCCAGGATAGGAGCACCCTGCTTTGATTGCTGTTTCACAGTGCAGCAGCTGTGGCATTACTATTCAGGCAGCTGAGACACTCTGCTGTCTTAATAGCTTATTGTTCTTCATTCCAGAAGTGTTAACAGTAGTCTCTCCTTTTTCTGGTCTTCATATTCCACTAACTAAGCAAAGTCTAAGTCTTCTTAGGGCAGTTTTGCTGCCTGCTCCAGGTCTCTCTCCTCCACGTTCAAGCCCTGGAGACTAGCTGTTTTCAGAATTATGGATTGACTCATGGAGACCAGCCTTCAGCAGCAGCTAGGGTTTCAGCTTTCGTTAATCAGGAAAGGAAGGGTGAGTGAGCTGAAGATTAGGCTCTGTTCCTGCCCTCTGCATCCATAACTGGAAAGATCTTTTTCTTCATTCTGCCTTTCAAAAAGTGTGCATTTTATATTCTGGGGCATGTTGTATGCAAAAGAATATAGTGCTCTGTGCCAGTATCATTGGGCCCTTTGGTCCTGTCAACATTAGAGACATTTTTCAGAATCTCTTGACTTTTTCTAATGCTGGCTCAGTTCCACCAGTGTTAACAGTGTTGGGAGTCCCTGTGTGGGACAGGCCTCACTCTCTGTGGGTGCATCTACACAAAATGTTTACTGCGGATCTGCCTAGTTAGCTCTGCAGTAAAGTCTCAGTGTCTACACATGCAACCCAGTTAGGCCACAGGAAACTAATTAACTCCACCGTAGGTTAGTATTTGTAAACTTAGTGCACAGCAACACGCATGTAGATGCTGACAGAGCTGGATGGGCATGAGGGTGCTTCAGTGTGAGGGTTGGCTGCTGGCTAGCCCCACACTGGCGCAGCCTTGTGTCCCAACCAGCCCTTCTGCAGCACGTTGATCTGGGTCACAGCCACCCCAGGCTGGCAGGCTGACCTCCCGGGTCCCCTGCCAGCCAGGGCTGCTCTGACCTGGCTCAATGTGCTGTGGTCCCAGGTGCACTTGTAAACATGGCACCAATAAACTGGTGCAATATCCACCAGAGTTAATTGCATCATATTAATTTCACGTGTAGACCTGATCCGAGTTTAGTTAGGTGACAGTGCTTAAAATAGGGGCACTGGCTGGTAACCCATTCACACTAGAGCTACCAACCTGGCTGACTAGTGAAGCTGAGCTAGTATTAGCAATAGTGGGAAACTGATTAAAAAATGTTCCTACCATAGACTGACCTTTAAACTGTTACAAATCATTTGCCAGTAATACATTTTGCATCCAGGTGGCCCGGAAACATTACAGGCACGTGTAAATTAAATTCGCACCACTCACAGAGCCACTTGTAGATAAGCTGTTTAGCACTGATGTGATGCAGTTACTTAAGCCCTGCTATAGGGGCTGGTTCATCTGAGAGCACACGGCAAACGACAGATGCAGCTGTAAATTCTGCCCGTTTTATCAGCTGCTTTTGTCAGTGACTGAATGCCCATGACATCAAACAGTACTGTGTTAGCAGTTAACAAAACGTCAGCAAAGTTAAACAGTTTCAGTACGTTGTTAACATTGCATCAGCATTTTATAATTGTAGTAGGCTTATATTACACATTCTGTTCCAGACCTAGACAAGCAGCTAGATTTTTTTTTTCCTTAATGATTTCAGACGTGTTAGCTAAGAAACGTGAGTTACAGTTGTTGGGCGGATATGATGCAGTGATTTGATTACAGCTAAGGGTTTTTTCTGTGTAAACAAAAAAAAATTACTCAGCTAGTACTGAGATGACTAAATATGGGAGCTGCTGAAATAAACATAATGCTGAATAATGAAGGTTCCTGCCTTTCCTTTTGCTTGTTGTCTAGTAGGATTTCTTAGAAAAATCTTTAATGAAATTTAAAAGACCAGAAAAAAAGCTGTTCAAGTATTTTTTTTTTTTTTTAATCCCAGTAAAAAATTACAAAACCTAATTCTCCAGAACAAGATTTCCACAGCCATGTATAATTATGATGGGATATGTTTGTCTGTGTTTTAACTCTACGTGTCTTGGAATAGATGTAGAACAATAGAAGTCTCAGATGACAGATGCATTATGTCATCCTCAGGTGCAGGATTGTTTCCTTCCTTCATTATATTCACAAATCTCTAATCTGTTTATCATTCAAGTGACTCAGGCATTAGGACTTCTCTGAATGTTGCAAGGAGATTCTTCCTACAATCTAGTAGCTATCACTGGGGAATGTTACTGTTGTTCAGTCTAGGTATCATTTCCCATTCCTTTGCTACCCTATAATGTATTGTTTTCCTTGGCAGTTCCTTTCTTCCTAAGTATTTACAGCCTTCCAACACATGCAGACTATACTGATAAAAAGGTATATAGCATTATTGATAACATTAAGTCTCCAAATACTGTTGTGAGGTATTAAAGGTAGTTATATCCTCATTTTACGGCTGGCTAAACTGACACCTGAGAATTATATGTAGGTACATCCAGTTTACTTACTATGCTGCTTTTCTGCATAATTGGACCATATTTTTCTAACCCCCTCCCCCAGTTCAACAAATGTGAAGTAATACTTAATTCAAGTCATGGTGGCAGAACCTGAGATGATTTTGATATTGTCTTGTCCTTTCACCTCCTATTTCCAAGATATAAACAATAGTCTTAGAAGCCCAATGACAAAAACTAAGGGCACAATTGCAGAATCTAACTTATTTTGATTAGATCTAGAAATATCAGGCAGCAGGTGGAGGAATCCTTCTGAACATTTTGGTATAAAAGCCTCTTTTCAAAAGTATCCACTAGGGCAGGGTTCCTCAATTTTTTCTTGTTCAGCTTCAAAACATGGGCTTGGCATTCAGTAGAGTTGAGTAGCTGTGCCTCAGAGTAACTTGATTTGGAGTTGCATGTGCCCAGAAGTTCTGAAAATCCTGCTCTGAGACATTTTTAGGTTGGTCATTCAACATGAATGAGCAGTTCTGAAAATTTTTAGTCACTTGATTAATCCAGTGTTACCCAATTTGTTAGCAAAGTATACATTGTTTATTTGTATTAGGGTAGCTCCTACATGTCCTGACAGAGATCTAGGGACCCATTCTGGTAGTTATGGACAGAAACAGTAAGATGAGAATCAGAAAGTGGGAGAAAGGAAATATTTAGCCATATAAAGGTGGGGAACTGAGTGAAATGGTCATCTGCCAACAGGCATACTAGAGTCAGTCTTTAAGGGATGCCACTCTAAGCTACTTTCTGCCTGACTTTGGACTAACATGACTAACTACTTTCTAGAAATCACCAATGCTTAAAACCAGTTCAGCTGAACTGGAGACAGCACCAGTGCAAGTTTCATAAATTGCCTTCTCATCATTTTTTATTATAATTTCTCACCTTTCTGCTATGTTTTCTTGACTGACTTTTCAACACCACCCAATGTAATATCTGAATTGAATTAGCATTTTACTTACCCTGTTATTGTATAATTAATAAAGGTGTTAAGTAAACTGACTAATAATAAAAAAAAACCCAAAACTTGCTCCAGCCCACTAGATACTTCCTTTCCCACTCAAGGAAATGTGATTTATTGCTACTTGAGATTTATGATCCTACTGTGACGTTTTAGTCCCTTTGGCAATGCTGGTGTGCAAAGTCATTTGAATTAATTTTGTCGACATTTTCAAACAACACTATCACAGTTTTGCTGCAGTCTAGATATCATAATGACATGCACATCAAAAGTGCACAGTGAACAATTCAAATAAGTAGATATTTATGCTATAAAATGTATTAAACATTCTAATTTGGAATATTCAAAATAGAGCATTAAAAAAAGAATTTTCTATTGGATGCTCCTGATGGTCACGGGCAACATACCCCAGTAAGACTTGTGTATAATTAAACAGTGTTGCTCCTAATATTTTCAGTAATTAAAAACACATCTTATGTGTTTTTAAAAGTAGAGACCAAAATGTCTTTCCAGCAAGGTTTCTCCTGCATGTTCCTAAGCAGCAAAAGTAGGGATCTTCATTTGTCATGTACACCAAAGTGCCCGAGACTTCAGCTGTATGGATTGAATTTAACACTTGCATGACAGGCATAAAACTGCCATTATAAAAATTGAGGTTTTATTGAATTTGCACATAATCTGGAACCTTGTATAACAGTAAACCTAAAGAAAAGGTTGAAAGAAAGCTGCAGATTAGTAATTTGAAAACTGACTAAATAATAATGCATTACAATTTGACTTGAAGCAGGATAAACTAGCAAATTTTGGCTGCTCACAGGTTATAGGAAAGTTTTTGCTAAATGCATATATTTATGAGACTTGGAATAATGGACAAGGGAGCAAAATGTTTCTGAATGTAAGTGCTTTCCAAGCTGTGCTTAACACAAGGAACTAAGGAGGATAAAACTGATTCAATGCCATGTTTATAATTCCCCATGTTCCTGGTTTCAGCAGCTGAGAGAATGACAGTACTTCAGCCATCAACAGTTTATCCCCTGGTGGTGTGGTGCTACTTGTATAATAAGTATGCTCATAATAAATAACTGAAATCTTTTGTTGTGCCTTTTTAGATCCAGATGCAGAAGTGTGTGTTCATGTACTGCGGCTTCTCCAGTCTGTGAGTCTAGAACCAGAAGTTTTAGCCAAGTCAGCACCTGAGATGCGTGACACATTGCCATTTCAGCGTATCAAAGCACTGTCAAAGAGCCGCAATGTAGGTCTGCAAACACTGGCACAAGAACTGCTTGATGACCTTAAGATACTAGAATATGAAGTGTAGACATATACCTGTTTGATTATTGGGATTGTGACTGTTTGCATTTCCCCCTTTAGGTGTATACCCATTATGCTGTAAGTGTATGCAAAAATGGTTGTAGATTTTAAGTCTCTATGCAGAGAAACAGTACGATTATTGGTGATGGATTTTGAATGAACACTTGACTCTTCCTCTGTCTGAATGTCTGCCTGAAGCCAGATTGTCCAACCAAAATAATAGGTGAAAAAAATGTAGCCTGGGATTAGCTGCTTGAATATAATGTTAGAAGAACTTACTTTATTTGAAAAGGGTTTTGTTGATACCAGGTTTCAAAAGTAATTCAGACTATATGAACTATTTATGATGCAGATGGAGGAAAATGACCGAGTGTAGGTAATATATAGTTTATTTCAATAGTAAATAGGCTTTTTGGTCCAGTTCTGTCCATCTCTAATAATTAACGTTCTAAAAGAAAACTTTTGGTCCTTATTTTAGCCATAGTGTTTCAGAACTTATAACAAGTTTCAGTTTTATTTTTCCCCTCTCTTGTTTTTAATAAAAGAAAGCTGGAGTTGTATAGAGTGGAATAGATTCTACTTTTGAAATATTCAGATTCAGAGGAGCTGTTGGTGACCTAGGTTTGTAGTTGCCAAGAATATTAGAAACTGAACCACTAGTTTATCAAAGGCTTTGCAAAAAGGAAAAGAATTGCTGATGTCAGGATGCAATAACTCTGCAACCAAAGAGGCAGAAGTTAATTACTGCTTTGCATGAACTGTGTTGTATTCACTTGAAATTCTTATTGATATTTATTAGCAGTAATACATATAACTTGCCACAATTATAAATCTGAAGTTTATCCTACATACCTGAGCATGCCAAAATCTGTAGCTGTAAAAATAACACCATAGTTCAGAGTTTTCTGGTATTATAACCTAGCTTGTGACACTACTGTAGTGCAGGCAGTGGCAGGTCAGAAAAATACTTCTCCATTGGGTTGCGGTTCTTCAGTCATGAAACCAACACGTTAACAGAGACAACATTTGTTTCTTATATATCATCTGTACAGAAGGTAAAGAATTCAGTCTTCTTAATCAGCCATAGTCTTTTTGTGAGGGAGTTGTTTTTATGCCTTGTGTCTAGCTTTACAGGAGTTCATTCTTCAGGCAGTGGCAGAAGACATAAACATTGTAAAACTTAAAGCTTCTGCCCTGTCAAGCAAACCACTCAACATTGACTTACGTTTGACATGGTGCAGTATATTGGTTACATGACATCAAACATAAGCCCAAACAAATATAGAGGAAGGAATGCTGTAGCAACATATTAGAAAAGAGAGAGGGGAAAAATGTTCTGCTTTGAATGGAGTCCATACCATAAGTATATATTTTTCTTAATGGGATACTATCAACAATGGAGGATTTGCATGTATAAAGATACAATAGGAAGAGCTTTCATGACAAGGAGAATTGCAGAATGCTAGGCATATTTGAAGATATAGTTAAAATTTAATGCAAAATCCTTAGTTTCAGAAATTATTTATCCACTACAAAATTTAATAGGTCTTGATTAGGACCCAGTGCTTTACATGGCAAGTAAGATAAATCTACCAGAATATATACTGTAAGAGCCCAGTGTTACCATGAAATATAAGAAAGTCATCAATGAGGTCAGAAAGGAGTGAGGAAATGGAAGAGATGACAGGAACTTTGAGTGGGAATGCTGCTCTTCCTGACTGAAAAATATATGGAACTCACTTTCATTTTAGAATGGGTAAAATCTACCAAGTGAAATGCATTTTCTTTTGGATTCATTTCCTTACTTAGACACTGGTTAGCCCAAACTGTATCCCACAATGGAATTAAAATGGTGGTAACCTCCAGTTTCCTGAATTATCAACTAAAAAAAGTTTAAAAAACAACAAAAGACCAAATGCAAACCCAATTGCCCATTTTTCAGTCAAACTTTTGAAAGGCATTAAGAAACAAAAATTAAAAGGTCTGTGTGGAGGAGGTCAGAACTGTTTGGTTTAATTGTTGACTCACTGGTAAGCAAAAGCAGGCCCACTGCCTGGAGCTGAGTTGACAGGTTTATTTGGAACCTTATGCCTTTTGACCAGTGGTCTGTTCACAGAATTGATGGTGAATGCAGGTGTGGCTTCCAGCTGAACTCCCCCCAAAATGTCACTTGCTCGGGTGATGGTCCCATGTAATCAGATGTAAGGCTGCAGTTGCCCAAGTTTATGGAAATCCCTAGTTGGTTTTAGTTATGCAGTTTTAATGTTCAGCTGTTTCTATAAAAGTCATTGCATCTTGTTAAACTCTTGAATTATGAAAAACTCTGAGACAAAACAGAGATAAAGCAGGTTATGTTTTAAGAAAGCAAATATGCTTTTAATTTTTTATTGAAGAATATGCACCAACAATATTACAGTTCTTAGTTCATTATATTCCTGTTCATTGTTTGACTCAGTGCAAAAGAAAAAACGTGTTCAGAAGGTTTCGTCAGTGCAAGGAAGTGAAAGTTGACTCTACTGGTTTTTTTCAGTTCCAACAAAAAAGTTAGTCTGACAAGGGTTGAATTAAGTTTAGGTCAATGAACCGGTTTATCCAGAGTCAAACTTGGCCTTTAACATTTCAAAATGTTGGAATTCTGTTTTTCTAAGGCATCTGCTGTTTGAATATTGAAGTACAATAAACAATACTTTACTAACTATGAAACTTACTGCAGTTGAATTTTGTGCCTTTCTTTAATTATTTTATTCCAGGTTGAGTAGACCCAGAGGTCAGTCACTTTCTCCAGAATGCTGAGTTCTAGAAGTAATCTGTTATTGGTTACATTTAATCAAAACTTTCGCAGTCCCAGTTAAGTCTGAAGGCTGCTAACCACAGATATTCCAACACACCCTCATTACAGTACTTTGAATATTTGTCGCTTGTCTTGCTAGTGAGACAAGGGCAGTTTTTCAAGTTTCCCTACTGTTGCTCACAGGAGTTAGGTTTTCTGGTGCCTGTAAGGGCATGGACAGGCATTACATTTGTGTCAGGAAAAACACCTTTTTCCTGCCACAAAAAGTGAATGTAGAGGTGTTTAAGCAATTTGTGATGGAAAAACCCTTGTGCTTGTTACAAATTGTTGTTATCTCTTTAAATAGCAACTTTGCTGTTTTCTAGTGCCACTTGTACTACCTGTTTAGCTACATTTGGCACAAAGAGGGGTCCTTGGGACCCCCAGTCTCCCATATTCCTGTACTCTTCCTCCCTCCTCCATGGGGTTTGTCAATAATTGGGCTCCCCTGAGGCTGGAGAGAACCAAGAAGCAGCCCTCTATTGCTCTCTGGCTGGAGACCTTGCCTCTGTAAGTCTAAAGTCAAGGGCTCAAACACCTGTAGATCCCTCATTTTTCACCATGTTTTTGTGGTATTCCAAATTTCCTGTGTAGGAATTGAAGGCCTGTCCATATTCAAAGATTGGAAGTTCATCTTTAGAAGCACAGTGTCAGTTTTACCTGTTCTGAGTGAATATTTTTTAATGAGGACAGTATTTAATTAGCACTTAATTTATCTCCATGTGATCTATATTGGAAATTAGGTTGTTAGATTACTGTGCTTATCCACCCGGAGAAAGAACTGTTCATTTTGTCAGTTTTAATAAAAGAAAGAAGCAGACTTTATTTAAACAAAACAGTGGTACTCAAAGAACTTTGGAGTATATCAGTGTTTGTTTAAGAGGAACATGAATATTAGACTATATCTATATCTATATCCTAGTGCTAGTATAGTTAAAGACATATGCATTATGAATATTTTGCCTTTACTTTCCTCCGAACTTCCACTTTAGTCTGAAACTTCAGCTGTTAGAAACTGTTAATAGGTTAAAAGCAAAAGTTGAGTGTTGTGGAAACTTATATTGGGTTTGGACTTTTGGGGTTAGTACAACAGTTTGACAAACTTTTTTTTAATTTTGGGAGGGGGTTAAGCGTAGGTAATTAATCACTTTACTGTTTTGGAGATTTATATAGGGCCAAAATCTGCCCATACTCCATAAGAGCATTTTCTCTTATTGCACATTCTCAGCCCTTGTTAGTATTAATCAATTAGTTAGTTTCCATCCAGAATAGCACTGGCATGTGGTATTTGCACAGAGAAAGGCAGTAGAGTTATTTTGGATTTACTCCAGTATCACTTGCACCAGAATTTGGCTCTTATGCTAATCCAAAAGGTTAAAATTCTATTTAATAACTTCCAATATAATACCTGTTTACCTCACAAATCACTATGCAATTAAAATTGAACTTTACTTCTTTGATTATGATATACTGTGCACATGGTGACTGAAGTTATGACAGTGATCAGACACCTCTGGGAAAGATTCTATTTTTCATGTTTCAGGCTGAGAAGTACAAAACCTAGTTCATATATAAGCATGCAGAAAAGACTGAAGTTCTCTAAAGCGTATTCTTGGTAATCTGAGTTACATAGGGTGCTGTACCAGCCCTGCAAAAATGGTGTTACATTTCTATTTTACCTGGATCATACAAAGTGGCTGAAAAATCACCTGTCCTCAGAAGCATGTGCTGTAGCATGAGCTGGCATTTCGGAGGAAGGAAGCTTCTGGTGGTTGCAGTCTACAGCAATCAAATGCCAAGTTCTGAGAGCAGTCTCGGAGTCCATTGTCCACTGACTGTCCTGCTTCTAGGAAGTCACTCTTTCAGATGGTCCTTCTTCCAGGTAGTCACTCTGTTCTGATCTTTTGACAAGAGGAGGTAAATATTAGTGGCAAATTGGAAGGGTTGGTATTTGGTCAAGTATCTTTCATTGAAAAATGAGACTCGAGGCAGTTAAATTTCAGCCTTTTGCACCAGTCATTTAACTGCTCTCTTTGCACTTCAAAGTGCACTTCAGGATTGTGGCAGGCATGGAGCCATGAGAGAAGACTTACCCTGAGCGAGTGAGGAGCGGAGCCAGTGGGATGCTGCGCTAAGCCAGGAGTGCAGCGAAACTGAAACCGTGGCAGAAAAAAACACCGTGCTAAGAGAAAAGGAAAAAAAGGAATGATGGATCTGGGAGGAGCCGGGACTGGCTCCCATGCTGGCATGAGCACGCTTTAGGGCGGTGTGCTGGCGCCGATTCGCCAGCTGGCCCCTTGAAGCTGGGATAAAAGGTCTGGCGGACGAGCAGCACAGGGGACTGGAAGCGGGTTCCATGGTAGGCCCAGAGCGGCCTGGAGCAGAACAGAGCCCCACTGAGTGGTGGTTGCCCCAGGAAGGGGGCCTTCAAAGATAAGTTGAGCCATAGAAGGCTAAGTGACTTACCTGAAGCAACACCATGGACTCCAGATATCTCCAGTCAAAATTGGACCCAGCAGAAACCTGAGGAGAAAAGGAGAGATGGACGTCTGAACCACGGCAAGTACAGACCCGAGAGAGGGAGAGAGACACTGGGGAGCAAGGTAACCCGGGATTGGGAAGGAGTTTGAGCTGGAGCAAGTACGGCCTAAGAAAACCCAGGCGAGATAGCGTCCAAATTGGATCAGCATAATTCAAAGAGCCAAAATATCAGAGCCTATACTGGACCAGACCTGGAAAATGAGAAATAGCACCTTTGGTTGGCATTAGGTGGGGTGTAGAGGAGGTGGAGCCCCAAGCAGGAAAATGAACAGGAAGACTGAAGGAAGGCACCAGGAAAGGTGGACATACCATCTTCCATCCAATTAAACTAATTTATTCCAGCAAGATGTGGCAGGCGAGAACCCCTGAGGGACCTTCTGGAATCTAACCCAGTAACAAGCTGTCTTTTTTTCAAGTGACAGTGAAACTGGAAAAACCCATAGGAATGAGGTGCACTGATGAGTGCCACGGGAGGCTACAAGGATCAATAAGATTTTACAGCTGTTGAAAATGCTTTACGTAGCACCTGCTGTCTTGGTGGTAGTCATGTAAAGCTTGTTATGCTCTTCTGTGAATGGTTTCAGCGGTTTGGCTTGTCTGCAGAGATTTTGAGAAATACTGGATTGTGTGTATGTGCATGTGCATGTATGTATATGAGAGAGAAACCTGTGAGACCTAAATGGCTTTTGCCACCTAGAACTTGAAATGCCAAAATTCAAAGAATGACCAGGGCTGTGACCATAATGTGGCTTAGCATGCATGTATTCCATACTAATACTTCTTGCTACAGATGAAATAATTTCAATCCAATGGGTTGATCTTTTAAAATATTTTTTTCTCCATGTTGCTTGGCTGCCATCTTGAGAGGCACCACATGGCCTGGGGATGGTGGGGTAGGGCTTGATGACTGGGCTGAAGGAGACACGAAGCAGTTTGTGTGGTTCTGCTTGGCATTCTGCCCTTGCTGCATGGAGGAACAGGGGGATACCTACTGAAACAAGGAGCTTTTATGCTACTGGGCACTGTTTTAAGGTGAGGATAGGGTAGAGCATTAAAGGCATTGTACAGAGGCATACTTGTCTTCTCTGTTGTGCAGCTGTATCTGCTAAACTAGCAGAGCACAGCCAGATCCTCAAGGCGTAAAAGTTACTGGCACTAAATGAACAAAATATTGTAACACAGAAGTAAATTGCAATGAGTGAGCCCCCCTCAGTGAAATTGTCATTCAAGCTGCTGGTAGCCGGCTGTGTTTTTGGTTGAGTGTCAGATGGGCCAAAGGTGTCCTGGCTATCTGGAGTGCTTTTTTCCTGATTAGCATCTATGGTTGCCAGGGTAGTTTCCAAAGATATTTCTTCCTCACTGTGGCCATTGTAAAGTTGTCCAGTGCATTCTTGGGTTTTGTGGGGGTATCTCAGCCAAGAATCTTGGCCAACTCTTCTAAGTTTGCATGTCTTCAGATGTTTCTGTGTTACTGCCCTCTGGCTTTGGCATAGTACTGGCAAAATATCCCCAAACCATCCCTTCTCCCCCATTTCCTCTGCCCAGCCATCAAAGCGTCTTGGCATTCCATTGCCTACTCAAGAGAGGTGAATAAGTCATATTGTCCCCTTATAGGGCAAGAAAACCCAGAACCTTTTGTGAGTAAGCACAGACCATAATTATAATGAAGTTTACATTCACATTCTTCCCACAGTCATGAACTCTTGACCAGCATTTAAAGAGAAATGGCACATCTGGTCTATGTTACACCAATATGGGGATGCCTCCAAATGAATTATTTACCAACACAAATCTAGTTGAAATGGAAGTAGGATGCTTCCAAACTGGCTTCATTATTCTGATACTAAGGTATATTATTAGCTTAAAAAGGACAATTTTGCAAGTATATGTGAGTTTCTGCTGGGACAAAAACATAAAAATACAAGTGCAAGCTTACTTTGGGTAGACAGGAACATGTTGCAGAGCTGAGCTGGAGCCTCAGTCTAGCACAGTTGGGACTGGATTGTAATGCACTTGTTCAGAACTACACTGTATTTCCACAGGCCATGTTCCAACTGTGTTTACGTCTGCTTTCTCAGTTATTTTATATATGGCTGTAAGTTTCCAGGGACTCATTCCCAGCTGGGGTAAGTTAATTTTAATAGATCTGAGGCAATTTAAATCAGGTGGGGTTAGAAGACGATGGAAGTTGTCAGAAGGCAAAATCCCTTAATAAGTAAGCAAAATGACTGAAGCCTTTGAAACCAAGCTCTTCTTGCCCATAGCATATATGAGCTCTTTAGACAAACCTAATAGGTCCAACAGAGCTTAACAAAATTCTCAGTCAGAATCA